CCATCTAACGAGTATTTTAACCAATCTTTCAGAATCCTAGAACTACCATCCAAGTAAGAACTTAAATGGTCATCTCTATTAACAATGTGGGGACTCGAACTCGAAAAACCGTGTTAGATCATCTTCTTGTTTTTTTATCCTTAAACAGACTCGAACTTGGAAGATCATGTTAGATCCTCATTTTACTCTTTTACCATTGAGAGAGACTCGAATTTGAGAAATCATATTAGATTCTCTTTTTACTTTTTTATCATTAGATCAACAAATAGTGTTTCATTGCTAGCAACTGAAAGCAACTTTAGGTGATTGATAGACATTCACTTTGTTTAAAATAAAAACGTGAGTGTTGATGTCTTGGATTTTTCATGGATTTCAAAATTGTGTATCACCATTTGCCACTTGTAGTTGCTTAGGCCTTATCGTGCTTATAACTTGAGATTAAACATAAATCTTTGTGTTATTCGATATTAATTAGGCCTAATAAGACAATTAACTTTACTTAATTATCACATTTGGATACTTGGATATGTTCTTTTTACCCTCCTTCTACAATGTTCCACTGCTGTACTTATCCAAAATCTTACTGTTTGTCCCCTGCATATCAAATTACTTATTTACTACCCTTTATCATGATAAGTTTAAAGAAATTAAAGTAATAAAGTAATAAAAACATAATAGAATTTGGGTGAGCAGTTGGGAGTTGGGACATCTTCTCTTTAGCATCTTTAATTAATTATTAATTATATTTAAAGAAAAAGATCACCCCACCATCAAAACCCTTCAGGAATCTGCTCAAATCCGTGGATTCAATATAATACTTAAAAAATTCATCAATCACTTTAAATTTTATTTTATTTACAAATTTAGATGAATGCCCTTTTAGTAAAAATCTTTTATACATTATAATTTTACGAGATTATGGAGGCAAGTGGAGGGTAAGTAAATCTTGAGCAGACATAATTAAGAATTGATTCTCATAATTGGGTTTCCCTTTTGTGAGATTCCAATGGCCCATTTTTAAGTCAATTTTGTGGTGGCTTAAGTGATTGACAGAATGGTGAAAACAAATTAAGTATCCCATCTTATCAAACTCTGTTGTAAATTTCTCGTGTCTAAGCATTAAGCACACGCAAGAGTGCTTTTTTTTATTTTATTTTTTTGTGGGTAAGTACAAGGGTTAGCATTGTCAAATATTTTATACAAAAATTAACAGATTTGTCTTTTTTAATATGTTTAAACACGTCTAATATCATTAATTAATCATAACTTAAACTAGTTTATAATCGTCTGACTCCTCTTGGTTTAGTACTTCAACTAAGTAAACAACACTCAAAAAGTAAGTTAGTGACAACGAAGAAATATGTATGAACTTGTAATTAGGAGTGAAATTGAGTCGACTCGAGTCGATTATCTAGGTATTCGAACTTTACTCGAGCCCTTAGTACAGAATTCGAATTCAAGTTCGAGTTTGACCAAGCTTGAGGAATCGAGTTTGAAACTCAAACTCGATACCTAAAATCGGAATTCAACTTCATATAATTGAGTTTTAGTCAAGCTGTAATCGAGTTTTATTTGAGCCTTAATCGAGTTTTATTATTCGAGCTTTAATCGAGTTTAAGTAATAGTTGCAATCGAGTTCGAGTATTCGAGCTTTAATCGAATTCGAGTATTTGAGCTTTAATTGAGTTCGAATTCGAGTCCAAGCAATTTTGTGGGGATTTTGGACCACCAAAAACTATCCACACGCTTCAGAAAACTGCACAAACAACAAACAACAAAAAAATTCCAGAAAAACTTGGACGCTAATGGCCAAAAACCGACTGTCCCTTGCCAGAAACAATCATTCGACACCGACAAACGGCAAACAACCAAGGCAATCCAAGACCAAGGTTTTGAAGACCAAACCAAGACGGTTTAAATGGGACCAACCATGGTTGTTTCCAATTAGTAAGTTGATCGCAAACAAGATTGAAAAATGCCTATTTTCGCGAAAAAGCTGCACCCTTTTTCGGCGAATGACGAGTTGAACAATGACAAAAAGCACACAAATGGAAAGAGGAGATCAAGACCTTTCTAACGGTGGGTGGGGCGTTGATTTCCAATGTCGATAACGTCTAGAATCAGGCTTACAAAAAACCAACATGAGCGCCAACAGCAGGTGAGTTGAAAATAAAAAATTCACTTAATCAAAAATTAGTAAATGGAATACTAATAATAGACAACATTACAAATTTTAAATTACTCAATCATCTCAGGGAAAAGTCTATTGGAAAATATCACTAAATAAATTAGTCTTATGCATTTACCCATAATGCGAACATACAATAAGAACTAAGAATGACAAACATAATTTTCAAAGGGAAAATAACAGATAAACAAACTCAAAAATCTACAGAACCAGAAATCACACATAACCAAACAGAAATCTGCAATACCTAAGAGGCTGATACTCTGAGAGGAGATTAAGCAAGACGGCGATCGGCGAAGGACAGGGAAGAAAACGGCGATGGGAAAGACGATGAACGGAAGTTGCAATTTCAGTTTTTAAAGAGAAATGACAAAGAATGAGATAAGAGATATTTGTGATTTAGGGATTTAAATTTTTATTCCCAAATCATGTTTTACATTATTTGAATAGGGATGGATTTGCAAATTTTATAACTTATAACTTTTATATGACCCCTATTACTTTAAAAACTATCTACTTAACCCTTGAGCTTGAAAAAACTCGCTAACCTTTCGAGCGAATTCCACTATGATCGAACTCGACTCAAAACACTACTTGAGCTACTCGAACTCGAAGTCAACTCGACTAATGCTGAGCCGAGTTTGAGTTAAAACCGAGCAAAACTCGAGCCGCTCGCGAGCGGTTCGACTTGGTTTTCACCTGTACTTGTAAAGATAAAGTACATGTATATGGATCACAAAGTGAACATTTCCGTTAACTTAAAAAGGGGTAAAATTAACCACTATTGTGACCTAATGGTAAAAGAGCATAATAAGATTCCATGAGCTCCTGAGTTCGAGTCTTTCCAAGCACTAATAAGGGTGGTCATTGGAGCTTTTACCCAACCGACAGTTCCAGGGTTTCGAAGGATTAGTTGAGATATGTGCAAGTTGATCCGGACACCCCAATGATAAAAAAAAAAAAGGATAAAATCGCCAAAAAAATATATTTGATAATGAAACACTTCGCATAAAGTAAAAGGCGAACAAAATCTAATTGAGCAGTGGTAAAGTCTAGCATTAAGATAATTGATTTTTTGTTGTGTAAATTTGTGTTAAATGTATATTTGCATGTGGGTATGGACAAAATGTGTCTAAAGAAATTAAGAATTGTGTATGTCTTGTAATTGGATTGGATAAATTTGCACATATCTGAAAGATTAAGCGCCAGGTCAAGATTACTGTTTCACAAACATACGTATAAACGAGTCCCCACTTTACATTTTGGGAAGAACAACTACAGTACAAGTAAAGCGGCGATGACCAAAATTTATACCGCAAACAAAATGCTTGTAACCATCAATATAAATAACATTTGTTTTTTGACCCCTTGCTCAAGCCTGCAACCCTTTTTCTAAATTTAGAACTACAAACTGTGGGCGTGGGAGATTTCCAAAAAATTATTTTCAAAATCCATGTGCATACATTCACTTTTAATACCAATTGCTTTTTGTTTGATTTCATCATTACGAAAATAACTCTATTACCATTGTTCCATCATCATCAGTAGTAAATTTTATAAGAAAAAAATGTGAATAAAATCTGTTAAAAGTTTGGGTAAACTCCATTGATTAACAAGTGTTTAATAAAATAAAAGGAATTAAATTTAATTTTAGCTCCACTCATTGGGGCATTGGCTACGTAGATTGTGCATAAACATGGAACATGATACACCGTCAACGGAATTCAATTGGGTTAATGGTCCATTTCGCTCGAAAAGTCCAGTGAACAAATAAAGCAAGCGGGGACCCATCAGGATTTTCTATATCTGGTGATGGAGAATTGTGCGCCTTTCGATTGTGATGTAAAAAGATGAAAATACAATTTGAGATGTACTTAAATAGTTTTCAATTGGCATAAATTAATAGTAATTTAAAAAAAAAAAACCCAAAAAAATAAAATGAATTATCCACTTAAAATACCCTGTGGTCCAATCCAAATATACTTTTTTCATTAAAGATAAAGAAGAGCCGACCCGGATCCATTTTTGAGTGGCTTCGGAAATTATTTTTCAAATAGTTGAAATGTAAAATTACCCTTGGGAGATCGAGTGATTGGACAAAGACTTTTAAGAGTATTACTATTACTAATAGGGATGACCACTAGAGGGTACACTTAGTTGTTAACTTAAGGGTCCAAGGGATTAATCGAAGTATGCGTAAGCTAACTCGGAAACCCTCGTCACCAAAAAAAAAAAAAAAAAAAAATTCTATTATTAGATTGATATAGTCCCTATTTAAAATTTAAAGTATTTATCAATAGGGTATGAATTATTTGTCAAACAAAAGTTTCTTATTATCCAGAGAGAGGATAGGCTCCCTAGTATGGTCCCAGTAATTTAGGTTTTTCCCAAAAAGTTGGACGATATTTAATTATTTGTCACGTTTTTATGCCTGTGAAATGTGAATGCACATGATTCTGCTTAACATATTACTGTATTATATAGGTCATATTAATATTATTAAAAATGTAATTAAAATTTTAATCGGTTAATTTTTTTTTAATAAACATCTTTAAATCCTAAAAAGTGAAGTTAGTTCTTTGATCATTGTATTGATATGCAAATCCATTCATTTACAAAACTTTAAGTAAAATTAGGGTGATATATATCTTGATATCGTCACCAATTGTTATCATCCAGTATGAGCATTTCATTTTGCAGAGTAAAATTTATGATCTATGTTTAAGAGTATTTTATCAATTTTCTATGAAATTATTGGGTTAATCTTGATGTGAAGAAACGTAGAGCATATACTGTTTATTTGATGAGAGAAGAAAAAACTGTTGAAGCTTCAATCATGCATCTGGGCTGTCCAACAGATCCCTTCATAAATAAATTTTGCATTGAATAGTTTACCGTAAAACAAGCAATCCTCTCGATGTTCATTTTATTGATTTTGCATCATTGAAGGAATTGATTTCGCCAATATTATCGCCCACCAGCTTTAAGCTGCCCCCAAGTTTTAGTAGGAGAAGAGCTCCGCGATTTAAGTGTCATATACATCATTGGTTCGGTAGAGATTTGAGTTTAATCTCTGATTCAATCTAACATCAATCTTGATCCTGGCCGAAGTGTAGGATTAAGATTTTGTTTGATAAGGAGATCATGGGGCTCGGAATTTCTGTTGCCTGAGAAAGCTTCCAGTTGGGTGGGGAGAGAAGAAGCTATGGGATAAGCTTCAATTGCCTCTGCATATAGCAAGATGGTAACTCCAGAAATTATAAACCACCTGAAAAACAACTATCCATGAATTATAGGACACTGGAAACTTCTAAATGTAGATATATTTATTTATTTAAAGGAAACAGGAAATTATGTTAAAGGAAAGAGGGACACAGAAGTGGATAAGACATCCACCAAGATGTCATATCATCCCCAAGAAGGGAGGCAAAAGAAGCTGTACAAAATATATCCATAAAACTTTGTATTAAGCTGTGCAAAAAGACATTGATTGGTATGTGAAAAGCAACCCACAAAACAACAACAAAATCAGCAAAACTATTCCAACGTAGGTGTATAAAGAACAAGCATCTGGAAATCTCTTGTACCTGAAGTTCACAAGACTTGTACAATTAGAATACTTAATCCCAGATTGTCCATATCATCCAGGGATTTCAGCCATAATGGTTCCAGAGGGATCCTTGCTTGTATGGTATTTATTATCAAAACAAAATTTTTGGCAATCTTGATTTCCCTACTATTCAACTATAGCAGTAATTTTCACTTTGTTCAACATAAAGCTAACTGTCAATTATACATCATTTCCTCAGTTTCTTAGTAACCAAAGAAACAAACAAGCAAATAAATATCAAAGAAAATAATCCATTTGTATCATCATCTAGTTAATACATCCATAAACACTCTGTCATCCAAAGAGTGACCACATCCATCCGTAAATGTACAAGGGAATTATCCACCACAACACCATTCAGAAACATATCCACAAACACTATCAAATCATCCAAACAAAATACACCCCACAAACCATACACCATATTATCAATAAATAAACTCAGAAAATAAAAAATCATATCTGCATCCAAAAAACATAAAAAAACCCAATAAACCAACAATTGCATTAACTGAGATCGTTATTTTGCCAACAGAAGACAGATCTGGGACAGAAAAAAGAGAAGAGCGAGCATAAGGGAGGACAATGAGAGATGGCCGATAAGTAATACGTGAAAAGTGAAACCATGCAGAAGGACTGAGAAGAGAAAAGAGGGTTGACCAAAAGGATTTGAAGTTAAATTTATTAATACCAGAACTATTTATGGTTAAATTACTGTTCAACCAAATTTAGAGCAAGGCTATAGAAAAGTGAACAAGTAGCCCACTAAAGAAGGACAAGTTTAGCTGAAAAAAAAAAAAAAAAATTACAGTGTGTATATAAGAAAGCTCAAAAATAAAAATAAATACAACTCAAAATAGCAGCCATAAGCTTACTATCAAAACCAAACATAGCCGAAAACTCCCTCCCAATTTAAATGAATGAAGAAACAAGAAGTATCTTGAAACTCTTGTCAGTGAAGTTGAAGTCCAAAGGGTAGCTAAAAGTCTGACTCTATCCCACAAGGATTTGAAGTGTTCCTCTATTAATGTCAAAGATCCGTTTCCTCTCAATACAAGACACTCCCTGATTTCACTGATTCCTACATAGATTCTATAATGTGACATGGCAAAATAACAAACAAAATCACTAAACTCTAACAATAAAACACCACAAGAAATATCAGCAACACATTCTTGTCCCTACAACTGCCCAAACAAGCAAACAAATGCAGAAAATCATTGCAGCAGTATCCCAAAAGTTAACACAACCATAAACATCATCAAATCACCCAAAAAAACCTATGAACCAAAGCACATAATATAAATCTACTAGAATAATAAAAAGAAATTTACAGCAACGAGAGAACCCCCGAGGAAATGTGCAATTCACAATACCCAAGATGTGTGGTCAGCTAAGAGAAGGCAGATCAGTGATAGGAAGAAGAGCGAAAAAAGAATGAAAGAGAGGACTCTGAAAGAAGACTGATAAATGATAAGAGATACTGTGAGTGAGGATACTGAAGAGATAAAGTGAGTGTGAGAGAGGGCTTGAAATACTGACTTTCTACAAAAAATATCCATTTCCAGTTCACAAGGTTCAATTAAATGAAGAAACAATACACTTCCTCATTTTTAGTGATTGGTGAGTAAATTCTACAAACTGAGAACTGGGATGAAACAAACTCAGACAAAAACAACAGACAAACTAGCAACAATATATTCTTGTCACCATTGATTTAACACTGAGGAGGGCTAACAAAAAGAATAAAATATGGAAGCAAAAAACCAAGGAGTAGGTGAAAACTTTAGTCATCACAGCGAAATTCAATCAAATGCATTGCCCTTTTTTTTTTTTTTTTTTTTCTTTTTAAATTTAAAAATGTGGTGTATTAGAACATAGGTCTGAAATGTAACTTCTACTTCACCTGAAAATTTTGCAATTTGCAACTACATTGCACCTTCAACACAAAATTTCATCCACAGTCTATTAACTAAAACCTTGCATCTTGTTTCGCCAAATGTTCTGGCACATCATAATATAGACGTCATGCTGCTGTTCAAGCTTGGTTATTGTGAATGGTGATGACTAATTCTAAGATCATTAAAAAATATCGAAACTCCGCTGAACTCATGATCCATCAAGTTGCCAAATTCAATTAAGAAGATGTCGAGGTTAATCTGATAAGAAAGACAATGCAAAAAACTGACACAAACATTCACCAGGACAAGGCATCATAAAGATAAATCACAACACTTTTGCTGTAATGATGCATTTTAGAGTCATATAACTCTAGGCAGTCACAGACTAGCTCAAGCATTTATAGACATATATATACCATCTCCCTTTACTCTTTCACTAACTCCTAACAAACACTAACACAAAAACATCCATTTTCTTTCCACTAACAAGTAATCTTAAATTTTCATCAATGCATAGAAACTACAATTTAACAACAAAAATCAAAAGTAAACTGAACTCAAAACACTAAATCAAAAACGAAAATTCTTTCATTAATTTTAAAATCAAATACAACATCATCTAAAACTTATCTCAAATTGCATTGCCATCCAAATTCCAAAAAAAAAAATACGAACCTCAAGGCACCGCATTGAGCCTTGCTTCCAACACAAATCCTCGACTCGGCCCATCTCCGCTTGCTGCCAGTCCATCAATCCATCTCCAGTCTCCTCCGCCTCCTCCTCCTCTCCCACATTCCCAGAGCGCCAATTTTCCAACTCTCTTGGCCGAAAAACAAACCCTATCCCCTATTCCAAACACCTTAAACTTACTCGATTCTTGAAAAAACTTATACATCGCCCCCGGCATTCTCCCTGCTTCCTCCCATTCCAGCAAATCCAAGTCCAATCTCAGTATAATTATCGTCGAACACGACGAGTTCAACGAATACGACGATTTCAATCCTCCGATCATCAAAACCCTATTCCCAATTCCGCGAACTAAACGCGGCCGTTTCAATATATCAAACACGTCTCCCCACTCGTGCTTCTCTAAACAATACCAAAACTGTTGCGAATTCGTTAAGGTCGATAACTTACATGTGAATAGTTTCCATTGACTTCTCCATGGTGATCCGACGTCGCACAACGCGTACACAGAGTCCGACATCATAACCGGACTTCGCGGTTTGGACGGAAGATTCGAGGAGAACTTTAGCCAATAATGAACTGAGTTGGAATAAAACAACGCGGCGAGTTCAGTGAGCACCATAACTCGGTTCACCGAGTCAACCAGAACTGATCCGTGTTTTGACCAGGCTGAACCTAACTGCGGCAGAACCTTAAATTGGCGAGTCAAGGGATTACAAGCTATGAGAGATTTGTTCGACTCGGGTGAGCCGGGTGAGTCACCCCAGACATAAAGGAGTCCTTGCGAGGAAGCCACAGGCTGTAGCGATCTGAAAGGGAGAAAGCTGAGATCGAATCTGAGCCATTGGTTCTGGTTGGGATCGAAAACGTGGAGGCCGGAGGTAACAGAATGGGACACGTGGTGGTGGTGGCGGTGGTGGTGCGGGGGACGGAGAGCGAGGAGAGAGAGGGGAGGGTTTTGTGTGGAGATGTGGTGTATGAATGATGGTGACGTCAGGATTTGATTGAAGAGTTTGCAGACGGATCGGCAGACGACGATTTGACGAAGAGGGAGAGAGGAGAAAATCTGTTGAAGCGTGTCTTGCGGGAGAGCGTAGATCGGGGGCGCGTCCATCGACCGCGAAGCGGAGTATCACAGGGGACTTTTTTTTCGGTTTGGGGTTGAAAATTTGAAACTTCGAAATAATGGAGAAGTTGTGTGAGAGAGAGAGACACTGAGGTTTCTAATTCTGGTGCGTACTACACAACCTGCTGCAAGAATCTAAATACACACGCGTATCTACTTTTTATTACCATCCAGGTGCCCTTAACTAAGGATTTCTTTTTCACCCCTTCTGTTTTATAAATAATCTATTTAGTCCATTACTGCTTCGAAATGATACATTCCTCCAAAAATACAGGGACGTAAGTGTATATTCTGGAAACTTTAGTTTCCTAAAATACAGAAGCCAAGTTAACCCCATTGAGTAGTGGAATTCCGTACCAAGCAAGGATTATTGTAGTTTCGGAGAATCTAAGTACAAGAGAACTGGAATGGAGAGCTATCTCTCTTTTAAGGTAAGAAATTTTCTTGTATACTTCAATTTGTGCTTAACTTGATTCTGTAATTGCAAATATTTGGTTTGGTTACTGTGACATTCAAAATGAGTTGTCATGCCTGCTTTTAATTATTTTTTATAAAATAAAAAAAATAAAGAAGATTATCTTATCTACTTAAACATTTAAAATTGGATTACAATCTCGCGACTTTGAAAATTAATCGTAAATTATTCTGTTGTCAATCAATTGTATGATAATAAAAATATTGTTAAATTATATCTTAATGTATAATTAAACATACGATGATGAAGTGTTTTTTACAATTAATTTTCACCGTGTTAATTATATGTCGTTAAGAGTTACATTATTAATCTTGTAGTGTAGCCAAGTATTAACTTTCAGTACAATCCAAGAAAACTATGATATACTTTAGTCTGTAATTAGAATAATCGGTAGTTGGTACCATAAAATGCGTTATTTTTGCAATGGATTTTAGTCATTAAAAGCCTGCTTTAAGTTTACGGGCCGGAACAAGTTTGACCATTGGGCCTGGTTAGTTTCATCCAAGTGCAATATTACTAGGCCTTTAATTTTGTAATGAAAGAAACATAAATATTTTTTTACAAGTATAGTCTTATAATTGAGTCATGCAAATATATAAAAGTTACATAAAACTTATGTAAAATAATTATTGTACGACTATATTGTGAACATAATTTATCCTATTATGTTTCGGAACACATAAATATTGGTTATGACCATTGATCTTGGTTGGTGAGACCAGGACTAAAAATATCCTGACGCAGTTGCCACGTGATTGTCTTGGCGATACTTATCTAATAGAATCTCGATTGGTTTCCACGGTGGACCCATTTAGAATCTAATTTTACGAATTTCGAAAAGTCAATTAGGAAATTCACACGAGAAGCGGAGGGGAGAGGGACTGAGGGAGACCGGTAAAAGGAAAATAAAAAAGCGACGCTGTTTCATTTTCATATACGACAAAACAAAGCTGCAAAAGCACTGTCGTTTCCTGTATCTTATTTCCACGTCTGAATCCGGCGTATTGGACTGTGGAAATTGTTTCATTCTAACTTTCACAAGTCAAGTTTGAATTTGCATCGTCTAAAATTTCTTAAAAAACTTCAACTGGCAATGAAATTATACTAAAAAAAAAAAAAAAAATCCCATCAGTAATCACAATCTGTCCTGTTGTGATATCTTTAGATCTAGATTTCCAATAAAGACCGTCGATTTACACCTATCCTCTGCTGTGCTTGTGGCACAAAACAATGGTTAGAATTTGCAGGAACATGTACTACTTTCTTTTGCTTCATGCATTGGTGCACACTAATTTAAAATGGTCGGTTGTAGCCAGTGGCGGATCCAGAATTTTTGTTCAGAGGGGCCTCCGCGGCTCCACTATTATTTATCAAATAATTAGTGAAAACTTTAAAAAATTTATTAAAAAAAAATATAATATTAAGAACCTGAGAAAAAAGAATATACAATAACACAATATTTTCTTACTTGAATAAATCTTTGAGAAGCAAAATTTTGACTAAACCTTGAATAAAACCTTCTTTTAATATTTTTATTTTTTGGCTTTCAAAGATTATAATATAAATTTTTATAGAGTTGATCAAACATAGTCTAATTAAGCTAAAATCAACCAAAACTTAAATCAAGTCAATATTATGTTGATTTTTAATATGAATTAATAAAATAGGAGAATTTTTTTTAGTATAAACATATATAGTAACTCAAATTTCTTTAATAATTTTGAACAACTGAACGGTGACGTTTAAAATGTATAAAAGTGGTGGGTGAAGGGTGAAGAATAACGTCCTTTAAAATATAGTTAAGGTTTTAATTTGAGAAAACAGATTTATTCTTAGACAAAAAAATATAAAATAAACTCACAACATTAATATTTTTTTCTCTCAAATTATAATAAAAAATCTCAAAAAGAAAAAAATAATTCAATCTTTAAATAAACTAAATTGAAACGAACAATACACATACCTAAAATCGATAAAACAGAAAAAAGAGCTAATTATGATACCTTGAGTAGTGAAAATTTAACAATTTCAGTCTTCAAAAATTTTAAGAGCGAATAACATGAGAAAGAGAAAAAGAAAAAGAGAGTAAAGAATTTAGGGATAAAGTCATAAAAAATAGATAAAATTGTGTAAAAAAACAGTGGAGAGAGTTTTAAACTTTTAATATGATGTGGGTTTGGAATATATATATATATAACAATTTTTTTGTAGACCTAGATATATAATATGTAAAATAGTTTTTATTTTTTTAAAATATGAAGGTGTCTATGTATACGCGTGTGTGTGTTAATTAACAATTTTTGATAACCTGTATATTAATAATTTTTTTTCAAATATGGGGTTGTCCCTGACCTACCTCAAAGGGGCTGAATCCGCCCCTGGTTGTAGCCAATGGAATAAATGTGGTTCTGGTATCATTAACGTATTAGAATTAATTAATTTTATATCTTGTATCAAAGGATTTTAATTATAGTGCAATCTNTGATAACCTGTATATTAATAATTTTTTTTCAAATATGGGGTTGTCCCTGACCTACCTCAAAGGGGCTGAATCCGCCCCTGGTTGTAGCCAATGGAATAAATGTGGTTCTGGTATCATTAACGTATTAGAATTAATTAATTTTATATCTTGTATCAAAGGATTTTAATTATAGTGCAATCTGGAAGAGAATTAATAATAAGACTCACGTGACGTGATGTCTAACTTCTCTATGAAAAAATAAAATAAAATAAAACAAAAAATATCTATTGTATTAACTTAGCAAATACGAAAGTCTCCAGAAAAATCGCCACTATAAATAGAGTGGTAACGCCCTCCTTTTTTCGCTCGTCTTACAAACGGTACTGCAAAAACCAACTCTCTCGTTTGTACCGGAGCTTCTATCTCTCCGTTCTTGAACGAACAAACGAACGAATCCACCGCCTCAATCTTCTCCGATCAGGTTCCTCTCTCCGGATCTGCCATCACTCCATTACAACTATTAAATTCTCCAACATTCAAAATCTTCTTACAGTTTTCTCTTATTTATTCACGCGCGCTGCTTTCACATTTGCATTGTTAATTTACTTTTTAGTTATGGCTCAGGTCGTGCAAATGGAAGCGGAAGCTAGTTTGAAGCACGTGAACGGAGCCATGGCGGAGATCTTTTCGAGAGATTTCGATCCGACGGCTGTGGTGTCTGAGCCGTTGCCTCCGGTTGTGGGTGAGGAGAACGGAGGACTTGTGAAGATTATTGCTGAGTCTGATATGGAGAGTGAGAGTCAGAGAGAGATTGTGCTCGGGAAGAACGTGCACACCACGTGCCTAGCTGTCACGGAGCCGGAAGCTAACGACGAGTTCACCGGTGACAAAGAGGCTTACATGGCTGGCGTCCTGGCTCGCTACAGGAAGACTTTGGTCGAACGGACTAAGCACCATTTAGGTACTAAACATTAAGAAATGTGTTTAAACGTCGTCGTTTCAATACTTCGTTTTTCATGTTGGTTGTTAGCTAAAAATGACTTTGTGTTACATCTTATACTAACTTACAAGTTATAAGATATTTAGTGTGATATAAGAACTCTAAATTTACTGTTAGGTATATTTTTGTTGAAATTTTATAAATACTTATTCTAGTTGAGCTAAATGAATCATGCCTAGTGTTCAAGTTCAACCACATGATATGCTCAGGTAGTTGTGGTAATGGGCACTCATGATAGTTGTTTCACCTTTGTAAATATAATTTTGTTTTTGAAAGCTGAAAAGCATCATTTTGGTTTTACATTTAAAGTACTGCTTTTTGCTTTTTTGGTAAAGCAAACATCTATTGCTTTCAAAAGCAGAACTTTTACTTTTGGATGTGTGAATTGTGATAGCTATATTAAGATATTATAACGTCAATACCGAGAGTGAGTGGCTATATTTGTTTGTTTACATGTTTTGAGTGATACCCTCTAAGATTATTGTTTTCTCAAAAGCAAAGAGTAAAAGAAAAGTAAGCAAAAGTATATGTTAGAATGCCGAGTAAAATGTGGCCTGAATGTTTACTAATCTCTTGTTTTAGTACTTACATAGCGTGGAGTTTACTGAAATAGTTTATTTTCTGTTGTCTTTTGTTTGTGATTTGATGTGTATGTAGAGTTGCTTGATATGACGAGGGATACACTTATAAATTACACATAAGTGAAAGTTATGTATGCGTTTATTATTGTTTCGTTGTCATCTTTTATATAGTAGAAAATGTGCATCATTTTCGTTTTTTGAAATAGAAAATTGAAAAAGAAAAAGAAAAAAGAAAATCATATGTATATCTAAAAATTTAAACTACACAAAACATGAAAAGTGGTAACCTGATGTCAGAAAATTGCAAAGTGATTTTGTTTAAGGATGTGCTTACTGATGCTCAAGTAAAAGAAATAGATATATTGAAGAAAAAGCAAGAGTTGTTGCCGATTTGTTTCGAGTAATTTTGTTTTGGAGGCCTCCTGACTTCATATTGTTACTTGTGGGAGGCAACATTTCATTGTTTAATTGATAAACTTGTCACAATTACTAAAGATGCCATGACAATGCATTGTCAATCTGACCTCTGACGTTAAAGTTTCTAGTTATGTCTTTGGTTTTGATTTTTTTTTTAAAAACTTTTGCTTCCAATGATGTCTTTTTTGTAGGTTATCCCTATAATCTTGACTTCGATTATGGTGCCCTTGGTCAGTTGCAGCATTTCTCCATCAACAATCTTGGGGATCCATTTATTGAAAGCAACTATGGTGTTCATTCAAGACAGTTTGAAGTTGGTGTTTTGGATTGGTTTGCTCGTCTATGGGAAATAGAGAAAGATGAATACTGGGGATACATTACAAATTGTGGTACAGAAGGCAATCTTCATGGCATTTTAGTTGGGTAAGTATGGTTAGGTTTTAGCTTTACATTGCTTCTTTGTCACATCATAATCATTTATCTTTTCTGTCAAAGAAATCTGAAACATATTGTACTTTGATCTTGCAGGAGGGAGGTGTTTCCGGATGGGATTCTGTATGCATCAAAAGAGTCCCATTATTCTGTCTTTAAAGCTGCACGTATGTATAGAATGGAATGTGTTAAGGTTGACACTCTGATGTCTGGTGAAATTGATTGTGCCGATTTCAAAGTTAAACTACTTGCGCACAAGGACAAACCGGCTATTATCAATGTTAATATAGGTCTCTCACTCTCTCTCTCTCTCCCTCCCAATCCCACAAACTCAAAGAAGTGAATGTGCACCATTAACCGAGTTGATCTGATCGATTATTTGTATTACAGGAACAACTGTGAAAGGAGCTGTTGATGACCTTGATCTTGTGATACAAACGCTTGAAGAAAGTGGATTTAAGCATGATTGCTTCTATATTCATTGTGATGGAGCTTTATTCGGACTCATGATGCCCTTTGTTAAACGTGTAAGTCATGTCATTCCCAACTTTTAACATTATAAGGAAACTTAAAGATTGTAAATTCGGCTTCCCTCTTTCCTTCAGTCTTTCATTTCTTGCATTAGCAGATGGTTTTGGGCTTTAGCAATTTTGCTTTTAAGAGTTTCCTTAGTCTGATTTAATAGCTTTTGCTCTTCATTAATAACTGAATCAGTCAATTGTGGTGCGTTTCATTCCAGAACATATTATTTGGTTTTTCTCAGTTTGAACAAAAGGACTAAGTATTCTGCCCAGGTGCCTTTGCATTGGATGAACTCAATCATAGACAATAGGCTGTGAGTGAAATCGCATATTTCTGATCTGAACTAGCTTTTCTTGTATGTATTTCTGTTTACCTTATAAAATGCAATTGTCACAAAGCATTTCTGTTGAAAATTTGAAAGTTGTGGAGACCAAATATATTATTTCACCTGTGGATAATTGGATGATGTCATGATATTACTGTTTGTACTGGATAGTTGTCTTAGTGTGCTCGGTTGCTTCCTCTTGCACATATTTGATTAAACCTTATGCAAGTGTTAATCTGTGTTCAGTCCTATTCTCCTGGCCTTACTTAATCCTTTTGGGCTTTTCAATCTTGTTGATGAACAGGCTCCAAAGGTTAGTTTCAAGAAACCCATCGGAAGTGTGTCTGTCTCTGGCCACAAGTTTGTGGGATGCCCAATGCCTTGTGGTGTTCAGATAACAAGGATGGAGCACATCAATGCTCTCTCAAGGAATGTCGAGTACCTTGCTTCAAGGGATGCCACGATCATGGGAAGCCGAAATGGCCATGCTCCTCTCTTCCTCTGGTACACCCTCAATAGAAAAGGATACAAAGGCTTCCAGAAAGAAGTCCAGAAGTGTCTTAGAAACGCTCACTACTTGAAGGACCACCTTCGAGGTGTTGGTATCAGTGCCATGTTGAATGAACTTAGCAGCACAGTTGTGTTTGAGCGTCCTCAAGATGAAGAGTTTGTTCGAAAGTGGCAGCTTGCCTGCCAAGGTAATATCGCTCATGTTGTGGTTATGCCTAGTGTCAACATTGACAAACTAGACGATTTCTTGAACGAGTTGGTTGAGCACCGCTCAACCTGGTACGAGGGGGGAAAGGCTCAGGCTCCTTGCATTGCGGCAGATATAGGAACTGAAAATTGCTGTTGTTCTCTCCATAAGTGATAGATTGTTTGCATGCATTAGCTCTCCATAAGCGATAGATTGTTATTGCTTGGGATTATTTGTCTGTTGTCTTGTTTGTATCAAAATTCTTGATTTTAATAGAATCTGGATTTGTTTTAGCATTGTGTGTTTTTCTTTTTCTTTCTTTTTTTTTTTTTTTTTCGGGTTTCTTATTATTATGTTTCATACTAATTGAATTTTGATATTACCTTATGCTTTCATGGCCCAATTTTGAAGTTAAACTAATCATATATATAGCAGGTAAAAGCAGTGGCTTTATTCAGTACAACTTATCCCTGATGGAATAATTTATTCATAATTTATGTTTATAATGGAAAATATAAACTTTATCATATTGCAGGATATGCAGAAAGTTAAATCTGTTATCTTGCTTCTGCTCTGGTCCAAATCTTGTATCTCTACTTGCTCTGTTTAGCTTCTGTCTTTCTACTGTTTACTTGTCTCTTGCCCTTTCATCTCCATATTTGACATGAATATTCTACTGCAAGAAAGCTTTACAGCGGCTCTACGACAACTGGGTACTTGTTTTTCGGCATTCGAACAAGTGTCGGCTGAACAGAGTCATCTTTCTCCAGAGGTGTCCACCTATTATGAACATTCACAATGTTAGAATTGAGAACATATACATATTATTGTCCATCTACATATTGTTGTCCATCTTACTTGTATTTGCAGACTAGGTGATGGATAAAAATGGAGATTTCCAGTTTAGCCAGATTGATTCCAGGACACATTCGCGGTCCACTGCCAAATCCGAGAAAGCTGAAAGACTTCACAGGTGCCTACATTTGAAAAGAATGAAACATTTCCCATTGTGCATTTTCAGAGACAAAGGTGATCAACTTATTGAGCTTAACTTACATCAAATCTGGAGGGATCAAACTTTTCAGGATTTGGGAAAATTTCCGGGTCATGATGAATAGAAACGACATCCAGGTTTACCGACCATCCTTTCTTGATTTTGCATCCTGGAGTGGAATTTTAAAAATGATTTGGTAATAGTACTATAAATGTTACATGTTTCTTATGAAAATATCAGTATGTTTTTCAGTCTGGTTTGCGGAATTATGCTTACCATTAATCTCGAAATCTTCAGCAGCTTTTCTTGAAAACCAAGGCAAAATTGTTGCTTTACGAAGAGTTTCACTGATCACCTGAATTTCAATTTGGGAAAATATCAAAATTCATTGACCTTTCCACAGATTGTTACTTATTCTAAAAGAATAATTTTTGTTGTTATGCTTGCTTACTTTGGCAGTGTAAGGCATTTTGTTGACTTCGGACCAGGTAAGATTTGCACTATCCTTTCTGTTTGCTTGTATTTCCAGGTGTTCCTTCTGCAAAGCCACTGGAAAATTTCAGTTCGACTACTCAAAGAAACTAATCAAAATTTTCAGGTAATGTGAAGTAAATATTACTCCGAGTTGTTCCAAAACAGCAGGATTTTCTTCAAGGAATTTGATGAACCATGTGAGAGCAGCAGTTGTGGTGTCATGTCCTGCAACTAGTAGAGTCAATATATTGTCCTTCAATTGTTTATCAGTGAGTTTATCTTCTGTATCATCTGTGTCTCCTGTTTTGCTATGTTTGATTATCAGGGACTCAAGGAAATCTTGTTGGAAGCTTTTGCCACTTCTCCTCCCGGAAATCATAGAGTTCAACATGGCATACATTCTATCCCGAGCCTGAAACAGAAAAAACTTGTATTAGAGAAAATTTCAATTTCCTTCTTTGCTAAGAAGCAACATTTTTGGTTATATAGTGATTCTTAGGTGTGGATGTCTTAAAATTTTAAACGCTTAACAAAATGCAAATCAAATCCATCAATTTCTTGTCAGGTCACTTTTTATGATTTTATGCAGGTAAGTTGTTGAGAAGTATTACCTTGATACCGCGATTGAAAGCTGTTCCTGGGAGCTTCAATGGCAAGGAAGCAAATGAGGAAGAAATGAGTTTAAAATTGGCCCGAAACTTTTCCTGCTCCTCACCGGTGGGTTCCAAGCTCATTATCATGTTGCCTATCACTTTCAGAGTGAACTGCATAAACAACAGAAGATTTAGTTATCTTGAATTTAAAAAAACCCTACAGGACAGTAATTAACTTGCTCTCTAGACTCAACTGTAGAAGCCTCTTCAAGAACCAGCACCCTTCTTCCAGGCCATTGATCCAGTGTTTCAATTGCCAGTGTGTTAATAAACTGAAAATATTTTTTCAGGCCATCAACCGAAAGTGGTTCAGCAATCAGCCGTCGCAGCCGTTTGTGTGCTTCTCCACTGGTCTGGAGCAAGCTGGTTGGGCCAAGAACTTGCTGCCCTGTGTAAAAAAGGTTCAAACTCACCATCCCATCTTTTCCAGTTAACAATATTTTGCTTGCTTCTCTCCCAGTCATGAACACAGTGTATCTCCCCAACGCAAAAGTCTTGAAAACTTTTCCATACCTGAATAATGTTTTCATTATAACATCAAATCTAATACCTGAATAATGTTTTCATTATAACATCAAATCTAACGTTCTTGATAATTTTTACATGTGTTCATGGTTCTTTATTTGATTGATTTTATTACCTCTGTTGCCTCTCCTTCACAAAGCTGTAAATGCCAGATGGGTTAGAAAAATCAGATATAAATGAGAAGCTTTCACCAACAGCAGGCCACCCCAGGCTTCCTGGAATGTGCTCCATTGTTTTCGGTGTTGTTGTCCATGAACTCGACAAGAAGAAACCTGAAAGAACAAATGTGGCAACAATCACCATAATCAGTAAGATGCTGAATAATTCCATTCTCAGTCACTGAGTGATCAATCACTTCACAAAATCAACTGCTAAATTTTGCTGCTCTATTGTTTTCTTCTTAGTTGCCTTCCTATTTAAACTGAACTTCGGTAGCCACCTTGGAACAAATGTCCCCAATGTGAGACATAGTACTTAGCTATTAACGATGTTGTGACAAAATAGTTAATCAAGTTTCATTCATAGTCCATATTTTTTATTTGAAATTGAGGTGCTGATTCCCTTTCCTCGTTCTGAAAAATTTAAACGATAGGATAACATTTCCATTGTTGTTATCAATTTAACTCCAACTTTGTGTCGCTGACTTCAATGAAAAGAAACAAAAGTCTAGAATTTTGTTTGGTTTTCTCTTTGACTGTAACTGGTGTCTGTTGCTGATGCTGTGTTGTTTTTGCCACCACCCTGAGTCTTGCTCTTTGTCATTAGTTTTAGGAAACAATTCAAAGTTTGATTCTATCACTTGTGTTTGGATGTGTTCAGGTGTCATACCCTCAAATAGGTATCGGATTAATCCAATGCATAGCGATATCGATACAAATCATCTGTAAAATCTTCAGACAGTAAAAACATTTTCTCTCTCTTTCACTCTTATCATGTGTATACAAGACTAAGAAAATAAAAAAGGGTGTATTTTTTTGAATGGGAATGTCGAATAATTCTTAAGATACAGTAATACTACACTCAGAAACTCTTCTCACTAACTTTCTCTCACAAATGTGGCATGTCAGTTCGTAATTGGTCAACTTACAATGGGTCTCACCTGACCAAATGCAAACTAACCAATTACGAGCTGTTATATCAACGTTTGTGCGAGAAATTTGTGAGAAATATTTCTCAACCTATTTTTATTCGTTAAGGTATCCCTAAACCTTTCAAGAAGTTGAAACAAGGATTGTTGATCATGGTATTGAATGCCATATTCTTTGTAAAATGTAAATATCATAATAAGATTAAAATGGGTCTAGAAAATCACTCTTGGACCTGAAACTTAGCTCAATTTAAAAGACCTTAAGGGTGCGTTTGGTTTAAGGGTATTTGACATTACTCTAGTAATATCATCTTATATTATTTACATTACTATATTTGATTGTCAATTAATAAAAGATTCCGATAATCTTCTAATACCAATAGTAATTATTCTTGGTAATATAGGTGGTAATTTGAATACCACCATCTTTTTAGGAATTCTAAGATTACTTGGTAATCTTAATCTTGTTACAATTTTACCCTTAATTATTAAAAAATTTGGGCAGTAATACCCTTGTTATTAACACAACTTACAAGTATATTCATGGACTATTTTATCCTTATACACAAGATTTTTAGTACATTATTACCCTTGAACCAAATTACCCAAGACAGATAGTCGGATCTGACCACCATTGCCGATTGCCAATCAACCGTCATTGGAATGGCACACGATGGACCGGATTTGGTCAGCCATGCGCTGATCTGGTCGTTTCCGGTCATATCAATGGTTGTAAATGGCCAGATGGCTGTGGATATGGCTGGAAATGACGAGAATAGATATGGTCATTTTCAGTTAGATCCATGGTCGTTAACGGCCACAGATCTGACTGTTTTTTACTATCGATTTGACCGAAAACGACTAGATCTACGCACGACCGACCATATCTGATCGATCGTGCACCGTTCAGGCCACAACCAACTACAATGGATAGTGGTGGCTGGCGACCAGTAGTGGCTTGGGTGAATGGGGGTGTTTTTGTTAAAATTTAAACTTTTATTATGGCTGGGGTGTTTTGGCAAAATCTCAAATATAGGGGTTAAAAAAATAATCTAAATAATAATAATAATAATAGAGTAAACGACATGTTCCCACCCGAGGTTTAGCAAAATGGCAAGTTGATACCCCTAGTTTCATTTATTTCAGATTCCTACCCTCAAAGTAAGATCGTTAATTTGGTGGCGATGGGGTTGGCTTCCATGCAATAGCTGGGTGAGGGCTTTAATTGAGCAGGTTATGGGCTCTGTTTTAAAAATCGGACAGGTCGGTCGGACTAGGACTCGATAACTTCTCTGGTCCGGTTCAAGTCTTAGGGGGGTTTTTGTAATTTTTTAAAATTATAAGGGTTAATTTAGAATTTTACAGGAGTGTTTAGGAGATATGTCAAAAGTTTGGAGATTAATTGATAATTTTTTGGGGCATTTTTAAAATAAATAAAAAATTTAGGGACTTATTAAACTTTTTAGGGAAATTTTTGTAATATATTAAAATTTAAGGGATTAATATGTAATTTTTAAAAAATAAAATTATCGTTGACATCATCGGTTGGACCGGTTGACCCGTGACCCGGGCAGCAAAACAGGTTGCCCTCCAACCCGAATTTTAAAACAATGGTTGGCACTAATTTGGTTTCGATTTTCGGCGATTGAAGAGTCACCAACGACCAAAAAACACATCACAACAATCAATTGATAGTGAAGAAGCTAGTGGTGAAGTTTGGAGAGATTGGTTGTACCCAAATCAATCAGAAAAAGCTTGAGAAGTAACCCAATCTCATAAGGGGGCAAGAATAGAGGTGATTGGAAATGGCGAGTGAGGTCGACAAGTGATATATGGGTAAATGAGGTTGTGATGAGTCCAACGGTGATCTCGAAAGTGATTTTGGACTTCGAAATCAACTAAAAAAAAGCCAAAAACTATCAACTTAGACGCTGCTAACGTTAGGGGTGTTCAAAAGAACCGGTTGGAACCGGAACCGACTGGTACCCTGGGTTTGATTCCGGTTCCTACCCAGAACCAGTCGTCAATGGGTAGGTTCCGGTTCCAAATTTTTGGAACCGTTACTGTGCGATTTCGGTTCCGGTTCCGGTTCCTATAGTTAGGAACCAAAACCGGAACCAGGAACCAGGAACCGAGACTAATATAAAATAAAATTAAAGATTAGGGGAGTTTATATAAACTTTTGTAGAAAAAATAATGTGAATACATTTATATTTATATTTCATAACATTTAAAGTAAGTTGGTTTGACTTTTGAGAATCTACCTTTACAAAGTAATGGAGTTTGTAATTTTGAATTTATAATTTGTAATTTTATTTTTGTTAACAAGTGCCAGGTGAGGGGGTATTTGTAAGTTTTTAAAGTTTTTTTACCATTTTAAAAACTTTTGGGGGGTCATGTAATTTTACAGGGTACCCAGAACCAGAACCGGAACCGTTGTTACAGGTTCTGGTTCTGGGTACTTAGGAACCGGAACCGTCGGTTCCGGTCCTGGTTCCAAATTTCAAGGAACCGTCGGTTCCGGTTCCGGTTCCGGTTCCGGTTCCAGTTTCGGTTCCGATTCCGGTTCCGGTTCAGGTTCCGGTTCCGGTTTCGGTTCCGGTTCCTTCAAAAAGTGTAGGGTACCCGGAACCGAACACCCCTAGCTAACGTGAGCCTACCTCTTGCGAAATAAAGTGCTAACACACTTTAACATGCTAATGTGCGTCGTGCTACAGTGTATATGATCATTTTAGCAAACAATGTTACTTTAAAGGTAAGAGTCTCAAATAAATAAAATCAGGGGTATCAACTAGCTATTTCGCTAAACCTCGAGTGGGAACATGTCATTTACTCATAATAATATTTAAAAAAAAAAGCAATTCAGTAATCTATAATCTATATAACATACCCACCGATTTAGTATTCCCAATAAAACATATCAATATAACATACCTACCAATTTATTCTAATTTAGCCAAACACATTTAATATAATATTTCTAGTAATTTTCAAGGTAATTTATCTTCTTATTAATATAATATTCACAGTAATACCATTGTTTTAAAAACCGGACCAGAGGGCAACCTGCTCTAATGGTTGGGTCATGGTTCAACCGGTCCAACCATCGGTTGAACCGATGGTTTGACAAGTTCACCCCTGATAAATCCCATCAGACCCTATAAGTTTGAAATCTAACAAACACAGCCCTGGCCAAATGCAAATTAATGATCGATTGGGAGAGCAGCGGCGACACACTAAGGAGGGTAGATCGGATGATGGGGAGGGCGAATCGGCCGCTAGCAAGTAGAGGCATCGCTGGAAAATGACAGATCGGTGGTGGAAGTCAATGGTCGCGATGGCTTTTTTTGATGAGATGACTGGATGTTCGTGAACAACGACAATGGAGCTTAGGAGAAGGTAGATCGGTGGCTAAGGAAGCCTGTCGATGCCGGAGAAGGCCGATCGACACCGGGAAATGGAAGAAAAATCACGTGACGAAGATGGATGATGAAACATCACACAGCGGCTGGAGATGAAGCGTGACAACGCCGGAGAAAGTCAGAAGGTGGTTTCCGACAGTAAGGGAAGGTGGAGGGTCACCGAAAAAGAGGAGGTCATTGCCGATTTGCATTTGACCAGAGGGTGTGTTTGCTAGATTTGAAACCTTCAAGGACTGATGCGTATTAATCAGGGGTGTGTTTGTTATATTTTAAACTTGAAACAGTTAAAAAAAGTAACCTGACCCAGAGAAGGCCCTGGGTCCCGGTCCAACCAGTTGGACCGATCGGTCTAGTCCGACTTTTAAAACAGAGAGTAATACAACATTCTCTGAACCAAATACATCCTAGAAGTAAAACATATATAACGACCTTGTTAAATAAAACCAACTCCATAAACAATTATTCAAAATATAATGAGCTACAACTGACAACAACAATCATCCAACCATCAATTATCATTACCTCCTAATTTTTCTACATCAAGATGTGAGTAATTTTCTACACTATGAGTAACATAGCCATGTGCGCAACTGATACAGGGGTTTGCTCTGAGCAACACTCATTCACAACCTGCAACACATATACACATTTCTATATACAAAAAAGAAAAAGAACAAAAAAAAAAAAAAACCCTCATCTTCTACTACTTAAAAGGATTAGATAACACCATCAATCAAGTGTCTTGAACGAAGCTAGACCCTCTGGTTAAAGTCCATGAAACTTGGGTGTGACTGCCCGCTCAGCGTCTGATTGTTGGTGGATGACGGCGGCATCTGCTGCTGCTGCTGTTGTTGGTGCTGCTGCTGCTGTTGTTGGTGCTGCTGAGTTTGATGCCCACCAAAGTGATGTAAGGCTGGCTGGTGGCTGGAAAATTGAGGAGGTAGTCCTCTGCCGAAAGGGCTTCCGTTCACTGCTGGAATCTGGCCTGTAGCTATTTTAAGGCGTTGTACTTCTTCCCTTAACGCTTCGTTCAGAGCTGGATACGCAAGAAAAGCATGTTAACAACAACATAAACCTATCATAAATCTTCTACTAAAAGTTATTTCATAAGCTAAAAGTGTTATTTGTTCTGATAATGGCAACGAGATAGTTATTGTAAACAACGAGGATGTATGACAACTAATGCAACTGAGAATATAGCATAAAAACACTACCATCTCTAAGCTGTGATTGTTGTTCCATAGCTTGTAATCGCAGTTTGAGTTCCTTATTCTCAGCTGTTAACCCAGTAGTGTCTCTCTGCATAAAGGGAGACAATATACACGAGCATTAGTCTTTTCCTTCATATGCTTCCATTTCATTTTTCCTTGAAATGTTTTTTCGAGTGTTCTCAATACAGTATCCAGAAAAGTACAACAAAAGGTGCTGTCAGGGCAACTAGTATATTCCACCAAGATAAACTGATATAAACTATCCAATGTCTAGAAGAATATCTAATGGTATAAGAAAGCAAATTAAGAAAAAGTAAGTGGGCAAAAAAGGCTGTGCATTATTGGAGCACGTGAGATTAAAACACCATTTTATATATTATCCCAGTGTGTAACCTGTCATACTTATGCCCTTAGTTAAGTGGGGAAAATAGGAATTCCCAATGGGATGCTTAATTTAATTCCTGTTTAGATGTTTTGGCCACTATAGTAAAATCTAAGTTATCATTGTTGCTGAAGTGAAAATATAAATAGAATAGTGATACTAAATTTCCCCCAAATTTTTCTCCCACCATCTTATTCTTCTAAAATTTATCCCATTTCTTGTCATCTTTCATTGAAGAATAAGAAATGGGAGAAAATCAAAGAATTAGAGAATAAATAAATAAATTTAGTAACAATTCATATTTCAAGCCAATATTATACTTCCCGAAAAAACAAAATAAGAAACAAAAATAGCATTTAATTAAATTCTAAAAACTACCTCATTAATCAAACTCAAATAAGAAAATAGATACCAAGAGAAACAGGAAAATAAATTAAATCAAAATATATCTAGGTTGTCCCACATCCAATCACAGACAACTATATCATGAAATTATCATTTTAATTAATTTGAACATGAAGTGCATGGTGAGATTTTATGAGAGTTTCAAAACGTAGTACACGTGTAATAAGAATAACATTAGCAAAGAAGAATAACTGAATTTGGGATAAGAATAATAGGACCCAAGGTTACTATGTACAGGCAAACCCATAAACATAAAAGACTAGCTAATACTCTTGTCAAGCATGACAACTCAGTAGATCACATCCTTTGAAGATCACACACTTATGGTTGGCATGGAAGTGAGGAGTCCACATAAAGGACAGGATTGGGCCTATTTGTTACTACTACAACTGGTTGCAAGTTTGGCATTTGCCATTAACCAAAAAGAATAGCAAAGTAATACACTACCCACATTTATGAGGTCCAACCTCCATCCCATTTATCCATGTGAGATTGCGACACTATGCCCAGAGGAACAGAATTCAGTTTTACCATGTTATAAGCTAGAATTGAAATATGCCTAAAATTTAGTTAATAAGTAAAATTTATAGTTCTCTCCATGAAATAGCATCTTATGTTAACCTGGTAAAGCATTTGTGCATGTTGCCCACAAGCAACAATATGGGTTACCGAATAAAAAGGCAGATCAACCAACCCTTCAATCCAGCACCAAACATAAGATACATTAAATATTATGTGATGCAGGCATTGTATGGATGGTGGACACGTGCCAAAGAAGTTTCAATAGTGCCAAATAGAGTAAAACTAATCTTCTCAACTTAACTAACATGGGGGATGGGCTTTTATACCAGAGCCGTTTAGATTCTCAAAAATTAGAAAGAGCAACACTGAATAAAATTTAAAAGTAACACAAAAACTGAAAAATACCAGGCCATAATCTCTGGGGATTATATACAGCACATTGGAGCAATACAACATTCAAAACCAATGGGTAATATTAGAAGCAACATGTGAAATGAAGGCCAAACAGAAAGTAAGAATATCAATAATAGAGATAAGAAAAAGGATAGATATTGAAAGGGTAGGCCAGAAAACTATCTAGCAGCAAGAACCGGAAGCTTTGTTCTGGAAAAGAGATATAAAACCAGCCTACTTTTGAAATTGTAAAACACTGTCTCACAGCTTACCAGCCAATAAAACAGTATATTGAACATGGAGTATCTCATCTCAAGGAAAATGCCGTCAAAACAGTACAAATTGAAACTCAATACACATTAGATAATAACAAACAACACTAGCAAAATTGTTACATTAACTAATACATCCTAATATCTGGCTCTTAGTATTTTCTTTTATTTGAAACTAAACGTTAAAGACAATCCATACCTGCAACATGGTGACTGAGCTGACAGTGTGGTTGCTTCAGTTGAAGTGTCTGCACCTCCTCTTAGCTCACTAGTAACCTTATTTCTCTCCTTCGAGCGTGCTGCAGATTGCCTATTAGCAAGAATCCTACAAACAAATTCATCCTATTAGCACACCTCTTCAACACTTCATCAACACCGACCATAGATCAAACCAAAACTTCAATTATAACCCAAATCAAATAATCATATCAGAAAGTATATTGGCTACATCAATCTGAAACAAAACAGAGCACAATGTACTAGTCAGGTAACGTTACCAAACCAGTTACAACCGTCAAAATAGTTATATAACCACTTATCAGTAGTTTGTTACTTGCACAAACTCTGTCACTACTAATATCAGTAGTTTGTTACTTGCTCAAACTACTCCATACTAATACGGTAGTTGTTACTCAGTTTCTCAGCTATACGGTACGAAATAGTTTCCTTACCGGATTTACACTACAATACTGTAGCATTTTCCCCAAAAAATTAAAATAATTTCGACTAATTCTTCACATAAGTTAGTGTAAAATGAAAACAAATAGAAATTCAACGAGCCGAAAGTTTTATTTTTTATAATAAAAGAAGTAAAAGTTATTACCTTTTAGCTCTCTTGGGAAATAAGAGCCAATTCAGCGAGGCGATCACGATCCATAGCCTTCTTAACACCATCTCCAATAACAGAATCAATCTCAAACGACGTCGCACTGCTCCCATCCATCGAATACTATGCCTATGTGGCTCCTTTCTCTCCCTCCTCTACCTCCCCCAACCGCCGCACTCTTCCCGCCACTGCCCCGGACGCGGCGGTGAAACCAAGCTGTCGAAGAAATCAGAGTCAACGGATAGACTCGGAGGTGATTAATAGGCTTCGGCTTCGGAGGGTTTTGACTGCTATTGTGTTGTTGTTGTTTTGGTGGCTGTTCGATGAGGAATCGTCGGAGGAATCAACGGACATGGTTGGACAGGTGGCGGAGTAGGATTGGGCGAAGGGAGAGGTCGAGCGACGACAGGTCGAGGTCGGAAGGGTCGAAGAGGAGAAGGTCGTCGAAGCGAAACGAGGTGTCGGAGTGGGCCCTACGGTGGTAGATCCCACGGGGGTGTGGGGTCTCCGGCATTCGTCCAAGTCTATTCTCATCGGCTGTTTACCGCTCATCTTGTTGTTCCTCTGTTGTTACAGCTTTGATTTGTTGATTGGTTTGATTAGTTTGCTCCGTGGGGTTGACGGGGCGGTTGTGGTGGTAATTGGACTTTAATGATTTAACTTTAGACAGATGAGAGAGAAAGAGAGTGAGAGAGAGAAAACAAAAGCTAAAAAAGTGAAAACATTTATGCTTGATTTTTTTCTGTTATAGGAAATAACCTGGAAGTTTTTGACTTTGTGACACCAGTGTCCCATTTGATATAATTACATTTTGGAAATTAGTGTAATAAACAAAAGTTTCTTCACGCTATTTCTTCTTTTGTCTTAATTATATGGATAACTTCACTCAGGTCCCAAAAGTATTCGGTTTAATGCACTTACAGGTTTGAGTAAAAGAATCTGAAATGTTGTGGCATAAGTGTTGGAAAACCGTACCACACTGGACACGTAACGTGCTGTCTGAATTATGTGAGCCGCACGTGGGAGCTATATCTCTCACGAACATATGTCCCAATGGGAATTACCGACAGTGAAAGATCACCTTTTTCTCACTTGTATGTTTCCACGTCTTATCGTGTACATGAGTTCAGTTCCCACATCTACCCTTCGATTGGTCAAAAACTTCACTCAACTCTAATCTGACGGTCCAATAAGATGTCATATCTCCGGTATCAAATAAAGTATCCTGACGGAGACGAAGACACTCGCACATTATTTACGTTGTTCAATATATGCTGTAGCACATTTAAACGATAAGATTTAAATGGACATAAAACTAATTTAATTTAAAATAATAATTTTCAGAAATCGGTGAATATTATATTTAAAATTTAGCTAGTCGTGTTTGATTGAGCAAATCTTGTTAAAGGCAATGACATTTGACATTTAATATAAAGTATTAATTAATAAATTCTTAATCTTGTTGCTAAGTTAGATTTAGAGATAATTAAGCATAATAATCGGTCCCAAGACCAAGATGTATCTCATGCGGCTTAGATTTTAATAATATAATAAAGGTTGAATTTGTACTGTCACATAATTTAGCAATTGACAATTTAATTATACACGTCGACCCATATAAATTCATCTCCGTGGTCATTTTAATCACATGATTTGAATGTAACACTAAACCAACTTCAACTTCCAATATAATTCTTCCTAATTACTAATTATGTTGAAGATGGTAGATTGTCAATTCTAAACCACAAAAATAATTTACACCATTTAATTATTATTAACATACAAAATAGTTTCATTTTTTTTTTCTCTGAAAATGTAAATATTTTATTAGAAATAAGATAATTAACCCCAAGAAGTGGTCTGACCATCAAAGAGGTTTGGTCTATTTCTTAAGTTTTTAAGTTCAAACTTTTGGGTCACCTACCCAATAACATGTGATTTATTGGTATTTTTGGTTTGTAAAATTCATTAGACCTTAGGAATTAATTGAATTACGCGTATACTGACCCAAACATCTCAAAACTAAAAAAAAAAAGAATATTTATTTTGAGAGTTAGAAAGAAGGATAAGATGAAAGACATGAAATGAAAATAAATAGAATATCAAAAACAGAAAAGATATGCTACAATTATTAAATCTATACTTAAAGTTGACCCATTTATCATCATAAAATCTATAGGAATTTAAGGCATTATAGAAAGCATATCATCAGTATTCATATTAAGAAAGCCTTAACGTAATAGATGTATCACATATCTTTACATCTTGTTATACTACTTTTAATTATTTTAAAATAACCAATTATTCATATGTTAGAAAAAGAAATTACAGATAAGACAAAATAGCTTGTTCTATGGGAAACTATATATCCTTCTATTAGAATCAATATTTTTTCACCCTTTGATTAACTTTTTAGCATTGTCTTTTTAAGTTTTTACCATATTGGATTTGTAATAATTTGACAATTCTAAAAGATCAATTAGGGTAAGTAATCAATAATTAATTACTTAACCTCTAAATTAAAAAATCTACTCATCTAAACCACCCAGAAAGAAGTAGGCCAAATATTCTAAGTATGGCCTAAACCATTTTAATTAATTAATTAATTAAATTAATGGTTAGCACATGGAGCTTTAATATTTTTTACTTCTTTTTCTCTTTAATATATCATTATATCTCTCCTCTTCTTCCTTGTAGGGATGTAGACTTGCAATAGGAGAAGATTATATATATTATATGTATAAGATAGAATAATTTACGAAAAGATAGTACAGATATTGAACACTATGAGGTGTAAAAAACTTTATATTATAATTACTAATATTTTAATTTGGTTGGTCTCGATTTGACTCCACAAATTAAGCCATGTGGTGGGCTGATGTTGATGATTCCTTTCATGAAGGTGGACAATCGGTTCCACATTCCTACAACCTCCATGTGGAGATTGACCCATTATTTTAATTTAATTAAGGGAGAACGACTTTTTCACCCCCAAGGTTTGGCGGAACGACATTTTCTCACCCGTCAAGTTTCAAAATGACATTTTCCCACCCTCAGTTAAATTTTGTTAGTATTTTCCGTTTTGAGGAAGGGTAATATGGTTAATTTACAGTAAGTCACAAAAATAAAAAATTGAAATCTAGGGTTTAGTGTGAATGGTTGCCAAGTGAAGTTGACTTTGGAAAAAAATATCAAAAAGTTGCGTATCTTTTTCTCCCATATTCTATAGTAACTCTCTCTCCCCTCTGAAACTAAAGTGACGCTCTCTGAAACTGAAGCACTGCGACCTAGAGCTCTATCGTAAGTCTCTCTGCTCTCTGAATCTGAAGGTTTTCTCTCTATTATGTCGTAACCCTTTCTTCTGCTCACATATTGGCTTCTTTTCCAAACGCAATTGCCTTCTATTTTGGTATCTTCTTGGACTGATATGGGCAGTGGTTTGAATGCACGACAATTCCGTGGATATTTTGTGTTCTTCCTGTTCTTCAAAACTGAATTGATTGGGAACTCAAGGTTTTTGTTTTATGTTAAACTCTCGGGGTTCAGTTGATTTCTATAACTTTAAATTCTTGCATCGTGCTGTTGCATAACCATTTGGTTCTTCTTACAAGGTTCAGATACACCCAGTGGTAGTAATTTTTAACATCATGGTTTTGTTTTGTGTCTTTGAGTAGGCTGATTCATTTGCATAGTTTTTCAAATTTTGACATAGGGTACTTTGTTCTTGTACACTGTACTTCTGTGATAATTTGACATTACATACAAGTCTATTGGCGATAATTGTCACTTTTATAAAGTGAATGGATTATTCATTTTAGGAGTTTGGTAGTATTTTAGTATGCTAATAGTTTTATGTGACAATCTGAGACTTAGTTTTTTTTAGTGTTAGAAGTTTTGCGTATAACCTCATTGAATAGACTTGTGGTTTTTGTTCATATATCAAATATGTGGTAACATATGGAATGGACTTTAAATGCAGAATCCTCATATACTTTTGTGTGACGCTCTCTTAGATCAAGTGGTTGAGTTGTTCCATTGCTCGCATAGTGCAACTTTGGCTCTTCTACCATTTGATTGCAGACACACAAATAAGAAGAAAAAAAAAAAAAAAAAAAAAAAGGGGCACGTACTAATTTACAGAAACCTTTTTCAGATAATAAAAATAAAATAGAAAAAAAGCTCTTTAAAGTGGCAAACAAGAGTTTGGACATCGTAAAAGTAAGCTTATGCCACTGGTTTTCTATTTTCAACCTACAGTCGCTTGAGAGTAGAAGTTATTGTGACTACTGTGCTTTTTTTTTTTTTTTTTATTCACTTAGGGGCAGGAAGGTTGAGGATGTTATTTTAGAAATAATGCAATGGCCTAAAGTAAGTGTTTTAACAGTATAACGATGATATGATGGATGAGTAGGAAGATTAGAAAACACAAGTTCTTTAAAGATCAAGTGCAGGGAAGCCTACAGTAGAAATGTGGATAGTAGACATGAAGTCGCCAGTGTGGTGAGTTGATCTGGTAGTTGACATAATTCAAGGTGTACATAGGAGGGTTAGATAATCAGGCTACATATAGGTTTAAAGAATGTTTACAGTAATGTTCATCGTCCCTTGGAATTTTTTGTCCCTATTCTTCGGGTTTCAAGTTTCAACTAATAAAAATTATTTATATGTGCGGTGTGTGCGCGCGCACCGCATTTTATAATTTGATTCTTATTTTTAAAATTCAAATATTAGTAATACTAGTACTTTTAGTAACTATAAGGACAAAATGATAATTCTATAGGTTTTAAATTTTTAAAATTCCAACATTAACTTCATACGTTTGAGACATTATTTTAATGAAAAACAAGGATATATGGGTAATTTAATTTTCATATAAAGTTGAGGATATACTAGTAATCATATTGAGAGTGGGTATTTTGGTAATTGATTTATGACAAAAAATAATAAAAAATAAAGTCAAATATTAAGGGTATTTTTGTCTTTTTAATCACCTAGTAACAAAAAACAATAACAAAACCTGACAAAGGTGGGAAAATGTATTTTGAAACTTGAAGGGTGGGAAAGTGGCGTCACCAAACCTTGGGGGTAAAAAGTGGTTCTCCCTTTAATTAATTATTATATAAATGTACTTTGCCCTATGACCTTTATTATTAAATTAAATAAACATAATCTATGTAAATACAAAGTGGCAGTCTGGCAGAGCTGCAGCAAAAGTTACTAAAGATATGCTTCACCCCTTTTTTTTTTCTTTTTTTTCGCTTTAACAAATTAATTTTTTTTTTAGTGTTTTAATTAATTTGGTAATTATTAAAAAAGTCAAAGATATTCGAAATTCATTAAATTCTCTAGGAACAACTGTTCAAATTAACTTGCTGGAAAAGTTATGTAAAAATTATATAAATATTTAGATTTATGGTTCAATACATTGACTTTTATGCACCAAATTATTTACATAATATTACACGAAAAATTATGCATAAATATTTTTAGTATACAAATTACATAGTTTTTTGTTTTTTTTTTTAACGAGTACCATTACTATGCTTTAGAATATATCTATAAGTTTTGTGTCCGATGTGATATTGATTTAATTATATTATTTCATCTTCCAAATATCAATATAAGGTTGATAGCATATGATAAAAAAACTTAAAATTCTTACTTGTCTCCCTCAATAAGTCATTTTCTCTTTGTACCATCAATTTGACATATGGCATATAATGTTCAACATATCCCACTCTTTATTTCTGGCACCATTATTTGCCAAAGGGACATTTATTGGTTGTTCAAAAGCATAATTTACATGACAAAATTTAATGGGTGCCCATTTGAATTTTTTTTTTTATCATTACTAAGTATTATTTTATTTTTGGCCAAAAATTAACATAAAAAAGAAGAAGATATAAATAAGGTATTGATTTATTTTTAGTGATTAAAGAAAGAAAAAATGAATTGTTAATATTTATTCTATAGTTATAAATATGAAAATCAGAGTCTAAAAATATTAGCATGATTTAGATAAATCTAAAATAAGTTACAAAAGTTTTTGGTAATATTATTATTGAATGTAAAAAAAAAAAAAAAAAAAAACGTAAATTATTCTTATTTTTTAGCATCGTCTCAGTGACAAAATATTCAATTTCCAATAGAATCATTGATAAATATCAAGATAGACACAAGATATTAGATTCAAGGAAAAATTCTTCAAAAATGATGATTATATATAAGACTACTGAAGGATGTAATTATTTTTTGCATCAACTTTATATACAATCAAATCTAATAAAAAGTACCCATATATATAAAGCTGAATATTCATATGTGTTGTTGGCTATGTGGCACATTTTAAAACTCTTAAGAATTGTTCCATTTTGACACATAAGAGTTGTAGTTATTATTTGGTTGAATTTTATTAGTGATGATGTAGAGATATATTAATTGTTGCATTGGTATTCTAAATCCAAAAGTAAAAGCATATCTATTTGAGTGACATGTATAACACTTTTTTTTATTTTATTTTCTTTTTCCTTTTTAGCTCTAAAATTGCTTTATTTTTTGGTGCTCTATAATTGCTCTCTAGCCAACGTTGGATGTGTGGTTTAATGAGATATTTTTAGCTCTAAGATTCATGAATACCCATGCTGGTTGTTCGCCATAAATACCCATGCGGGTTGTTCGCCATGTGGCCCATTTTGGAAGCACTAGAATTGCTCTATTTTGACACATTGAATTGACAAGCCAATCAAATTGCTCAATCTTGACACATTAGATTGATATTTATTGTTCTATCTATAATTATTAATTAATTAAAAAAAAGAATATGTATTAATAATTAATAATAATTATAATACATGTACATTACATCAGCATTCTAAAGGTCTAACCATAATGACATATTGGATTTGTAATTGCCATGTGATTAAATTTTATTAATGATGATATAGACAATATTAATTGTTGCATTGATATTCCAAAGTCTAAATAATTAGACATAAAGATTAGATTACATAGGTGCATTGCATTGGTTGTATTAATAATTAATAATAATACTAACTATATCGGTGCATTGCATTGACATTCTAAAGGTCTAACTATAATGACACATTGAATTTGTGATTGCCATGTGGTTGAATTTTATTAGTGATGATGTAGACAATATTAATTGTTACATTTGTATTCTAAAGTCTATATAAATAGACATAAAAATTGCATTAGATAGGTGCATTGCATTGGTAGTAAAAACATATTTGTTTATTAATAATTATATAGGTGTATTGTATCGACATTTCAAACATTTCTTCGTGTTCAATTCGTATTTAATTATGTTGGCATTCGAAATGTCTAAATAAAGGGTTATAAAAAGAGCGTATGTTCAGTTGTGTATTATCACAATATGTTAGTTGGTGTCAACAATAAGTCTGGTCTTTTGTTAATTGTTTATAAGTCATGTTAGTTTGTGTCAATAATACGTCTATTCTTCATGATTTTGTTATTCGATGATTTTTTATTTGTTTATGTTTTTGCTGCTGTTTACGGGTCACAAATTCATGAATTGGCATGGAATAGAGGAAGGATGTCCAATTGACATTGTCAAATGAGTTGTTATTTTGATTCGTTCTTCTGAATTGTAAGTATATCTTCTAACTATTTTAATATGAAATTGTAAGTATATCTCCTAACTATTTTAACAGTTATTATTTGGTTTAATTATTGTTTCTGTTCGGTCAATCTATTTGAATGATTAATTGTGTTAGTCCTGTCGAACGGTAAGTGTATTCCTTAACAATTTTAATATAAAGATTAATTAACTTTTGTTGATTTTGTTTTCAGGTAACAGTTGTTATACAAATGAATAATTGTTCCTTAACAATCTTAACATAAAAATCGATTAAATTTTGTTATGTTTGTTTTCAAGAAAATGTTCATGTACTTTATTGAGATCAAATCGAGGATGATCTTATTTTCAGCTGAACTATGAGTATGTGTCATATCTATATTAGTAGAAACGATTAATTTGTGTTGAATATGTTTTCTGTAAAAACATTCATGTATTTTAATTTGTTATATGAATGATTAATTGTTTATGTCCTACTGATGTGCGAGTATATATGTCAAATGAATTAATTTTGGCTGATCCTGTTTTCCAATTAATAGGTGTTATTTGAAATATTTCTTATCAGTCCTAATATGATAATCCCTTAAATATGGGTCAAGTAAACCTTTCATTTTATCATCATACGCATTTTGGTTTTCATTGAACAATCAGTAGTAAATTGACCATAACTTGCTCAATAAAAATCCAATTGATGGGAGGATTGAATATTTAGAAACTTGGCAGACAGTGCTTTAATTTGATATATTTTACACTTAATTTGGATAACTGTAGCCCTACTGCCGAACCATTTCTTTCATCATCACACACATTTTGGTTTCCACTAAAAAGTTAGTAGTAAATTGACCATAACTTGCTCAATAAAAATCCAATTGATGAGAGGTTTGCATCTATAGAAACTAGATAGACATGACTTTAAATTGATATATTATACACTAAATTTGGATAACTATAGCCTTACTGTCGAACCATTCCTTTTATCATCACACACATTTCGGTTTCTCCTATTTCTCAATTTTCACTTAACAGTCACTAGTAAATTAGTCATAACTTGCTCACTAAAAATCCAATTGATGTGAGGTTTGCATCTTTAGAAACTAGACAGACAGGGCTTTAAATTT